ACCTCATCCATATGTCATCACACGACGTGCATATCAATAGATCGTTTGGAAAAGTCAGAAATCCACCTTTTAGGGTGAAGCGTATGCATGTGCGAGATATCCCCCTATGCGCCATAGAGTTGTGGTCGCATCAGGTCTTGGTGACCTAGACTCATCTTTAAGGGAGGACCTGTAATCCATAGACTAAGATTGCTTATCGGCCATACTTTGGTGACCCACTAATGAGCCCTTGCTTGGGCTGTGGATCATAAAAAACACTAGGTCAGACTGATAAAGCAAGTGTGGTCCGTAGTCCACAGTTGAAAGTGGAGTGCCCCATGATTGTTGATTCAATTCCTAAACTATATGGATATATTTCCCATCAAATTAATTTGATTGTGTTTATTTTATGATAATGATTATTTTAGAATTTTTATTTGAATTTTTATGAACCTTTGGATATTTTATTTATAATTTTTGGATTTATAAAATTAAAGATATTAATTTTACAATATTTTAATATTCAAGAAAAATTATTTTGTTAATTTTAAGTGCGTAAAAAATAATAATCATGGGGGCCCATTGTGCACATGGGCCCACCATGTTTTTAGAAGGTGGAGCTCACATGTGCCTCCCATGGGTGGCACGCTCCACCTCTTACTACTTTTTATTTTATGGAAAGTTTTGTTTTGTGGTCCATGTGACCTTATTTTTGATAATTTTAAATTGTGACATGTGGCCAAATTATGGATTGAGTATGTATTGACCATATATTGAATTAATATGGAAGTAGATATTGACTCGATATATCTTTGATAGATTTTATGGAAAATATGTATAGAGATGTGCTATTTTATGGAATACACAATATTTAATTAAAATTAATTTAACTTATTTTCTATTGATGGGAAAATGATTTAGGAAATGGGGTTTAGAGTTCATGCACCTTCCATAATATTGGTAACTCATCTATGAAATTGATGACTCAGATCTCTCACCCCACAAGTCAACATTGATTGACGGTTCATGTTCAATCTCATAAGAAGTAATAAGCTAAGGAAAACCTTAAGAAACCCTAATTTTGTTCAAGCCTATAAAAAATGAATTGTCTCTACCTAAAATCTCTACACATTATCTTTCTATCTCTCTCTCATGTAAGTGATCTTTTGCTAAAACAAAGGGGATGATATTAAAAAAAAAAATTTATTTTCCGGTAAAAGATCACATAGGTCTTTCTGTCATTAGTATCAGAGCTATTGATACTTGATGTCATTAGTTGTCTTTTCTCTTTATTGAGTTTAGATCAAGCTTGAGAATGAGATATACGAAAGCCTATGATCTTTATGGTCAAGAAATACACCCACAGTTAAGAATTATTGAAATATTCAAACATCGAAAAATAACTTTGCATAATGAGTATTCTATGCTATTTTGGAGTAGTGATATGAAGAAGATAACAAAATATTTTTCTATTACATACTTCGTTAATATTTTGTGTCTTTAATATTATGTTCTACCTGCAAAATTCCAATGGGGTTATGGACTCAATAATGAATGGTGTCAGTTCTGACCCTGCAAATCCAAGAACTGTCTATTGAATTCTGTGATTTTTTTCACCAATCATATGATTTTATTTCTAGTTGAAAGTGGTCTATCTCATAAAATTGTGTCTACTTTCAAACAAAAAAGGTTTCATCAAGAAAGTCCTTGTGGTTTAAAAGATATGATCAATTTATTGAATAATGTGCAAGTATTGTTTTCTGAACGAAAACTATTTTCCTGATTTGGAACTCATGCTTTTATTTCTATACTTAACATAATGTTTTATGGCTCACACTAAATTTTTAGACCTTCATTCTGAGTTTAGTTTCTATTGAAATTTATTTGAGAGAAAAATATCTTTGGGAAAAGAGGAATAAAAATTTTGGATTGAAGAGAGGTCATCCTGAATTTTCTGCAATTTGGTATGTTATTCATTGAGACACGAATATCTATATTTATCAAGCCTACTTAACATAGTCATATGAGGCTTGTGAAAATATATGTGCTATCATTATGTGTCTAATTTTAAACAAAATTGGCTTGAAATGGAAACTCCATGAGAGTAGAGAAAAAATATAGTTTTACTAGATAGTGTTCATCTTGGAATTCTGCAGTATAATTTATTTTGTGACGTGAATGTCACTTATTTATTTCTTTGAAGAAAAGTATTATTTGGGGTTCAAACTATGATGTTGTGATTTGATTTTGAGTCTAGTTTTCAACACTAAAGATTTCAGAAAGAAATTCATTGAGAATTGAGAGAAACAAATTTTTTATTGAGAGGTGCTCAACTTGATTTTCTGCTGAAAAAATTGCATTGTGACCTAAATGTCACTAAAACGAAGACTCACTAAATGGTATGGTTTAGGGATGGAACTGAGCACTATTTTATATTTTTTACTCTATTTCAATACTCAAAAGAATTCGAAAATAATTTTTTTATGAGTTAACAGATATAATATGATATATTTTATTTATATAATAGATATTTATAATATTATACATAATAAAAATAAATATTAATAGAATAAATATAAAATACAATATATTATATACTATATTATATATTTAAATTTAAATTATTAATATATTTTATTATATAATATAGTATGTTATAAATATCATATATTTATATTTAAATTATTACTATATATTTATTTTAGAGAAAGTATAGAATGAGACCATTTACATTTGACACAAGGTGGTCACAACAATCTTGACCATTAGATGTAAAGTTGGGTGGTTTCAATAATTCCATTGAAGCTCAAACTTTAAAATAAATTTTTTCGAACTTTGTGATACATCCAAGATATCAAATTTCACATCAAATGGTTGTAAGAAATTGTGACCACCTTATATTAAAGGTAACCAGTCTTATATAATCCCTTTGTTTTATATATATATATATATATATATATATATGGAAAAGTCTTCCTAACGCCTATAGGCAAAAATAAATAGTGATTTTGCCTACCCTCATCATCGTCTAAGTTTTAACGCGCGGTCACGATTGTCTGGTATTATTTTTTTTCATTTTTTTTTCTATAAATTGGAATAACCTGAAATTTGGAGGGTATGTACATCTTACTAAGGCGCATCTAATAAAAATATAAAAAAATTATCCGCGAAAAAAAAATGAACCAAAATACCCCTGAAAAGTTTTGGGGGTATTTTGATCAATGTTTTTCATGTAAGATATTTTTTTATATTTTTCAAATATTTTCCTATTTTTGATGAATATATGCTCCAAATTTCAGGTCATTCCAATTTATAGAAAAAAAATAAAAGTAAAACACTACCATACAATCGTGACCACGCGATAAACTTTGGACCGTGATAGGGGTAGGCAAAATCACTGTTCATTTTCGCCTATAGCCGTTGCATAGTATTTTCTTATATATATATATATATTGTTTATAATATATTTTATGTATGTAATAGATATTTACAATACAATATATATTATATTATATATTGTTTTATGTCTAATATAAAAATAATATTTAAATAAATATGATTGTATACTTCAACAGGTTGTCAAACACATGTACTTAGAACTTCTTCAACATTCCAGCAAGTTATCAAACATATAAATTCAGAACTTCCTTAAATAACTTCTTTCTTTCAAGCAAAGAAGAACTTTCAATTTCTAGGGAGTATCAAACACGCCGTAAAAGAGAGCCCTTCCCAACTTTGCAAGGAAGAGAGCCCACACGTAGGGTTGGCAATTGACTCGTACCCGAACCAGGTCTGGGTATGGGTCAAAATTTGGATCCACGGGTAAGGTTCGAGTTCAACAATGTATACCCAAAAAATTTTGAGTACACGTACGACTATTGGTGGACCCACCCCATCTGCTCGATCTTCGGAGCTTCGACCGTAGATTTGCATTTCTCTCTCTATCTTCTCTTGTAAAATCCCAAGTCTGTCTTTCTTCCCTTAAAATACCCCATCTCTCTTTCTCTTCCCCTACGGCTTGTCAAATCCTATTTCTCTTCCAAGTTAGGATCTTTGATAAGCAAAAATGGTAACGTTTTATTTGATTTTCGTGCATTCTTTTTTTGTATTATGATGCTCGATGTAAGATTAGCAAAAATGGCAAAAAAAAAATTTATTTTCGTGCATTCTCTTTTTTTTGCATCTTGATGCTGGGTGGAAGATCAGCATGACAAGTTTTTATTTAATTTCGTGTTTTTTTTTTTTGCATCTTGATGCTCAGTGGAAGATCATAAAAAATGGCAAGTTTTTATTTGATTTTCGTGTCTTTTGTTTTTTTGCATCTTGATGCTTAATGGAAGATCGACAAACATGGCAAGGTTTTATTTGATTTTCATGTTTTCTTTTTTTTTTTGCATCTTGATGCTCGATGGAAGATTAGCATAAATGGCAAAGTTTTATTTCATTTTCATGCTTTCTTTCTTTGCAACTTGATTTTTGGTGGAAGATCAGCAAAAATAGAAATTCTCTATTTGATTTTTGTGTTTTCTTTTTTGGCATTTTAATGCGGTTGTTTTAAGAACTTTCTCTTTGTGGAAGAAGTTGCATTAAGGAAATTTGGGGGATTTTTTAAGTATGTAATATAAATGAAAATTGGGAGATTTTTACATAATCATGCATAAAAAATGGAATCCGCTCATCTTTATCTTGGATCCGGGTCTCAAGACTTAAGCCCAGGAGTTTGGACCCGTCGGGTACGTGTCCGGGTACGGCCATTAAGTGGCATTCCAGATTTGGGTCCCCGACCCACACCTTACCCGTTGCCACCCTTACCCACACGACCGAATTCTAGAGCGAGAGATAAGAAGCTATCGTTCTTTTTTAACCTCATGATTCATATTTATAGAGAGAGAGAGAGAGAGAGAGTGAAAAGTTGGGGAGTAATTTAATGAATCAATTTTTGTGAACTCTTTTCCATCTTCCCCACTCTTAAATAACGCCTGCAACCCATGAATGTTTCTTACTTTTTTGTAACAGCCAAACTCCCGTCCTCCGTTTTCTATAAAAATGACGTCACCTCACTGTGAAATCATCTTCGTATCCTACCCCTCCTCAAATTCTATATTTGCCTTTGACCTCGCCAGCGGCTCCCTCCTTGCCCACCTCTCTGGCTGCCCCTCTCCTCACTTTCTTATCCCTCTTGCAGGAAAATCACCTTTGCAGGCCGGAAAACCACTCTTAGTAGCCGCCTCTTCAACTGAAACTACTCATATATTTGTATGGTCATGGTCTTCTCCCGCCCCTTCCTTCTCTTTTCCCACTCCAGAGCCGGTACTCTCTATGGCTGCCACCTGCGATGGCCAGTACCTCTTCTCCGGTGGCTTCTCTGGCCAAATTCACTCATTTAGCACCGGAAAACTGCTCCGCTCCTTTTTTGCTCATCGCTCTCCTGTAACCCACCTCGTTGTCTCGGATGATGACTCTCTACTTGTGTCCGCGGCCAAGGATGGCTCAGTCTCCGTTTGGCCCCTAATCCGTGTTCTTGATTTCTCTTGCGACTCCACTGCTTTTCCCGGCCAGTTTGCCACTTTATCTGGTGGTCCGAACGGTGACCCAGGGTGTTTCCCGACGAGATTTGGTGGTTTCCCGGCTAGAATGTCGGCAGTTTCCGGCCTGTCAGTGGGCCCCGGTGCCTTGGCGGTCACGTCATGGGCGGATGGAACATGCGCCACCTGGAGCATGATGGACGCTTCATGTGTCCATCTCTTTGTACTCCCATGCACAACCATGTGTCTTGCAGTGGACCCCATTGGAAACATGTTCTACGCCGGTGGACCCCAAGGTAGGGTGTACGCCGCACCATTCATGTGTCATCCTGCTAAGGTGGCAGCGGCAGCGGGGCCCATACGTGCTGAAGATGTGTCACTGGTGGTTGCGGGGAGTGTGCATGACTGTGACGTGGCGGCCTTGGCGGTGGGACCCCGCAGGAACCTTGTTTGCAGGTCTCGCGATGGGAATCTGAGGGTTTTGGACCTTGGGAATGGGGACATCTTGTTGGAAGTTGGGCCCGTCATGGGCCCTGTTGCTGACGTAGCAGTGGCCTCCAATTCAGGGCAGTTTTCAAGTGCCTTAAAGCAGTTTCCCGACAGCGAGGAGGGATTTACGAGTGACACGAGGCGGTTTTCTAGGGACGTGGTGGAGATGGAAGAATGGTTGAAGGTGGTGGAGGATGATCGGCGGAGGGGGTTGGATTGCTTGGAGAGAGCGATTGGAACGTACGAGAGGATTCTCAATCTTTTCCTCAAGGAAGCCTCTTCTTCTTCATCGTCTTCCTCAAGTTTGGTACCAAAATAATAACTGTACACAATAGTATCGTTTATCTAGGTTAAGTGCCAAAAGAATTTGCATTGTTCACATTATTATGTAAATTATCATTTTACTCAACAAATTTTGAGCATTTGATTTGTATAGAGAGCAAGCATTTTTTTAATAAGGGCAGTTTTGGTTATTAGGAGGGGTGGAAGTCATCCACATGGGTATGACATCACCAACATGGAGTGCACTAGTGACATTTAATGCTTATATGGGTGATGCTACACCTCATGCAGAAGATATCCCACCTCTCTTAATAACCAAAAATACCTTTATTAAAAAAGAATTCATGTACAAAACAATGGTATATAAATGTCGAAAATTTATTGAATACAATAATAAATTACTCTATAGTGTGGGCACCATAACATAAGTCATATATATATATATATATATATATATATAACCTAAATATTTATATAGCAGACAAATAAGCCAACTACTTTATGCTCCGGTTGGTGTATGCATCTTAAAGTAAAACCAAAAGATCTACAATATAGATAGGTTGATGCAATCGTTGTTATATATACATATATAAAAGAAAATTGTTTCATACGGTAGGAACCACATTTCTACATTTGCGGTTGCCGAGGTATAAAGCATCCATCTTAAATATGAATGCAAATAGGTCGTCCTCCTAAAAACAAATGAAGCTAATTGTCTAAATGTTTTCTTAATAATCATAATTAGAATAAGCTCATTTTTATGAGCATATTTTTTATTTACTTTAATATTAATTGTAAATTAAAATTTGTTAAAGAATAACTTCATTATTATATAAAATTATATTAAAATTATAACTATTGGGTACATAGGGGCACTTTAAGTATTCTTATTATTAGTTTAGTCAGTTTTCTGCATGTAATCTAGAAATCAAAAGCAATAATTTAAAAAAATGAGTCTTTAAAACCTTACTGTTAGTCACAAAGAAAACATGTCACTCTCCCTCCCTCTTTCCTAATAACTCACTTCTCTAAAAGGGCTCGTTTGATTCCCTGGAGTTTTCAATCATGTGGATACATAGAATTGGTATTTATTGGAAATGGGTGTATGTTGTCCAGATAACATCTGGTAGAGATCAAGAAGATGCAAATTCGTTGTTTGGACTGCGTAGAATGTGATTTTCCTAAAAAATTTGAATTTTTATGAATTATTATTATTTTAAAAGATTAGCTATTTTCAATGTTGTGATTATTATATTATTTTTTCTAGTGTTTGTCCAAGTTAGGCGACGTTTCAAAATAACAAAGTTTGCAACGTCATTTTTAAATTTGACATGAATGCAAAAAGTTTGCAACGTCATTTCTAACTTTGACATAATGCAAAAGAGAAGGGAAGAGATAAAGTGATGAATATATCATTTCTAACTT